CTTAGAAATATTTCCTGAAAAGCGAGGCATGATGCAGACAATAAAGGGACAACGCAGTGTGTGCACACAAGGGGCCTTTCAAAACTTCACAAAAAAGTGCATTGTATCTTGTTTTAAAGATTTTTTTATTTTTATTAGAAAGTGACAGTTATAGATAAAGAGACAATGAGAAAGAAATTTTACACGTGCCGGTTCATTCCCCAAGTGGCCGCAATGGCCAGAGCTAGGCCAGGCCAAAGCCAGGAGCTTCTTCTAGGTCTCTCTCCCACATGGGTGCAGGGGTCCAAGCCATTCTCCGCTGCTTTTCTAGGCCACCAGCAGAGAGCTGGATCAGAAGTGGAGCAGCCGGGACTAGAACCTGCACCCATATGGGATGCCAGTACTGAGGTCGGCAGCTTAACCTGCTACACCATGACGCCAGCCCCCTGCACTGTATCTTCCACTCCTGTTTTCCAGTGAACTTTCTGACAGCCCTGCCCTTATTTATCTGTAACATACATTATAAATAACATGTAACTTAGCTGTGTGCATCTTTAAGAACTGCATATGGATATGTACTGTATATCATTTGAAACGAGCCACAGGTTGCTCACTGGCTCCTGGTGCTTGTACCTGGAACTTTGTGCCGAGAAGGAAACACAAGCACATCACATGTCACTGGAAAAGTGACAAGATCGACTCTTACTTCAAGGACACGGGGAAGCACGCCATCACCGTAATCTCAGAGGGGGAGGAAACCAGAGGGTTCTGAACAGCGCAGTTGCAGGCAGGCAGGAGCCCGGCTCTAGGGATTGTTTGCACAGTGGCGTGACTGCGGTTAACAACAGAGTAGTTAGTATATGCAGTGTACGTACGGGAGAGAAAATTTTCAATGTTTTACTACCCAAAATGATACGTTTCAAGTCACAAAATGCTAGTTACCTGATCTGATCATTACATACTTTTACTCATATCAAAACATTACATTGTGTACAATTACTATGTATCAACTTAAAAACAAGCAAATATTTTTTTAAAGAAAAAGAATTCTTATGTTAAAAATCCACAGCAGGCCAGCGCTGTGAATGGGTAAAGCCACTGCCTGCAGTTCTGGCATCCCATATGGGCGCCAGTTCGAGTCCTGGCTGCTCCACTTCGATAGAGCTAGCTCTCTGCTATGGCCTGGGAAAGGAGTAGAAGATGGCTCAAGTCCTTGGGCCCCTGCACCTGCCTGGGAGATCCAGAGGAAGCTCCTGGCTCCTGGCTTCAGATCAGCACAGCTTGGGCCATTGTGGTCAACTGGGGAGTGAACTAGTGGATGAAAGACCTCTCTCTCTCTCTCTCTCTCTCTCTCTCTGCCTCTCCTTCTCTGTCTGTGTAACTTTGACTTTTAAATAAATAAATCTTAAAAAAAAAAAAATTCACAGAATAAGTCGCTCAAGAACCCTTAACAGAATCACTACAATTTCCTAAAACTGCCTTTTGAATTTTTAGTAGAATCAAGTTATTTAATATGTTAATACTCTGCTGCTTCCTGCATCAAATCATTAAACGTTATTCTAATGCGCCCTGTTAGAAGGCAACACATCAGCTATCAAAGTGACATAAATGTGTCCTCTTGCTACCTAGCAGAAGCCTGGCACTCTTCCTTCAATGGTACGTGAGTGAACATTTAATCACCAGGTCAGCTACCATCAGACCAGCAGGATTTTACCTCAAAGATTTCAGCGACCGTACTCCACTGCCTACCCTGTGGTGGTTCGATGATGGGAAAACACTGTCCCCACATAGGATGTCCTGCCTCTCCCAGGGCCAGCACTGGAGCCAGGATGGTCACACACACACAGGCTGCTTCCCAGGTCTCCATGAGCTCTTTCTCACACCTTCCCGTAGGTGAGTTCCACGATCATCCCAAACATACAATCACCATTCCTAACAAATCTACAAGACTTTTCCCTGTAATTTCCACCATAAAACATTGTCTCACAATCATTTTTAGATTCCTTAACTATTCCATCAAATCACCATGACTCGTTAGGGAACTGTTGCTTGTGTTGGCTTTTAACGGGAGAGGATAAACGTTCAGAACAGAATTTACTTGTTCCTTTTGCGTATTTTGTTTCTAAGGCCAGCTTTGGTCCACACGCACATCACTGCCCCCCCTGGGAGACTGTGTCATCCAGGGCCATTCCCACCCCACAAGGCAGCTGTCACATTCAGACACCACCGGTCGGGGGTTGCTGAAACGCGCAAGTGAGCAGCCAGACAGAACTTCAAAGGGCTCAGAATTTGCTATTTTCTTACAATTAAATTTACAGAAGCCAAAGTCTTCTTTCATCTGTTTCCAGAAGAAAAGTGTGAATTTTTCTTCAAAAGCACCTCCAAAGGAAAAACAAAACCCTATGTCGGAATCCACATACGTTCAGTTAAGTGAGTTTTTATTTTAGATTTGGGATCCAAAGAGTTGAACGCTTCGGGTTTTTTTAGTGCGTACACTCAATCACTGGATCTACCCCGAGCACATTTTCTTTCTACCACACACTCAACGTGCATGTACTTAAGTCTACAAAATTTCAACCGCTTCTTTTCCTAAGCATGGCACAATGAGGAAGACAGTGAATTATACAGGTTCATAAAAAGAATCCTATTGACATGGGATAGGCAGGCAGCTAGCTAGGTCTGCAGAGCTGCGGAGTCACAAGCCCCATGTAATTCTATATCCTCTTACTTGTTAGTCAAAATGCCCCCTTTCCCAGGATGCATCTGCTTCATCTAGACACCTAAGGAAGATGCCATAAAAATGTGTATTTCAAGCGCCACGTGGAACTTGAGGAGGTGCTATATAATTCCCAGGTGGCTTCACACCGACAGGCCCCACTCCCAGCTTCACAAAATGAGAACAACAAACAGGAGGGGCTCTGCCTCTCTTTCCTTCTCTTCCGCAGACCAGGGCTGGAGGGGCTGCCAGGTGCTCTCCCTGCTTCTTCCCGACCCCTTCTCGGGCAAATCTTCTGGCCCATGGCCCACTCATGTCATGTATCTCTGTGTGTGTGTTTGTGTGTGTGTGTGTACGCATGTGTTCACTCTCACCTTGGAAATGAATTCTATCACTCTGTGTGCCAGCACTTAGCATGTATGTCATTGTACACAACAAGAGCCTGGAGGAAAAGAAATTAATGCCCTTTGGCCACATCATTGTCAATAATGAGCACATCACAGAGGACGAGTTCAGCAAAGGACAGGCTCAGAATTCTACATGATTCCAGTCCATGCACCCTGGCTGGCCTGTGGGAACAGTCTACATTCACAATGGAAGCCTGACGCCCTATAGCTCCCAATGTTCTTCACATACGGGTATAAGAAAATGGGCAACAGATGTGGCATGGTAGTCGTAAGCGGGTGGTCATCAGCCATGCACCCAGACCTCATGTATTAACCCTCCGGCTGCCACGTTGCACCACGGAGCCCTGATGCAGGCAGCAGTGTCTCTGCAGAAGGAGGCTGCTCGTGGAAGCCCCCACAGGGCCAGTGCCTTGTGCCTCCCCAGAAACCTCTCATTGGCTCCTCGTCTTCACAGGCCTCCTTTCCACTTCTGTCCTCACCACCCAGCCCGTCTTGCTTCACCACTGGTTATCCTACAGCTTGGCCACTTTACGACCTGCTGCCCAGGCCAGCCAGAGGACCGACCCAGACGACCCAGACCTAACTCAGGCTGCATTGGGTGCCTGCAGAACACAATGAAGACAAAAGCAGGAAATACCGGAAAACCCTTCCTGGATCTCAGATCTAACTTCTGCTGAGACAGCTGTCTTTCTGGAGAGAGAGACACAATCCAGACTTCATCATGAAGGAAGCTGTAGGAAAGACTCAACAATTAATTAGTCTGGAAATGCATGGCCACAGCTTACTCCTAGGTGGCAGTCACTCACCTCCAGAGCCTCCGGTTTAAGGCTTGTGCCCCATCTGGATGCAGCAGAAAAGCCTGCAAATTACCCGAGTGTGGGGAAAGGGTACTCTCGTGTCCCAGCTCACTGGACATAAAAGCCACACAGAAGAGAAACCGGAGCTTCTAAGGAATGCTGAGAAGCCTTTAAGTGGACAACAAACCTCACTGAGCTGTCGAAATTTCACATTGGAGAGAAACCAGCGAATGCAGCAAAACTTCACTGAGTATTAGAAAATTTATACTGAACCCCAAAAGCTCTGGATGTACTGAGGATGGTAAAATGCTCCCTCAACTTTGTCCTCCTACTCTGCATTTGAAGGGTGACACATGGAGAGGGTGTACAAATGTAAGAAATGAGGAAACAGCTTCAGCCCAAACTAAATCTTTTTGAAATTTCTATTTATTTTACTTTATTTGAAAGGCAGGGAGAGAGACAGAGATTGTATCTGCTGGTTCACTCCCCAAATGCCCACAATAGCCAATGTTGAGCCAGGCTGAAGCCAGGAGCTAGGAACTCCATCATGGTCTTCCTGGTGAGGGTAGCCAAGGACTGACCTCTAGACTCATCACCTGCTGCCTCCCAGGTACAAATCAGCGGGAAGCCGGAATCACTAGCAGAGCCAGAACTCAAACCCTAGCACTCTGATAGGGGAGGGGGGCATTCCAAGCAGCATCTGCAATGCTAGGCCAAACACTCGAACCTCCCCTCTCGCCCTGCCAATAACTTATCAAAAACACTCACAGTGGGGAGAAACCTTGTGAATGTGGGAGAGCTTCCATTCAGTTGTCACACCTCAGTCAGCAGAGAATTTATGATGGAGAGAACCTGTAAGGGGTGTGGGAAAGTCTTCAGCCACAAACCAAACCCCACAGAGCTGGAGCACTGATATACTAGATGGAATGCGGAGAAGCCCTTAGTCAAAGGCGTCTGTCTCTGACATCAGAACACCCACACTGGAGGGACGCTTTGTGAAGATAATGACTGTGGCAAATCCTTTAGCCAGAAGGAAAACCTTACTCATCAGAAAATTCACATTGGAGAGAAAGGTTGTTTGCATATCAGCTGTGAGGAAGTTTTCCTTTGGAAGTCAAGCCTCATCAGACACCAGAGAACCCACACAAGAGAGAAGCCCTTGGTGTACAAGGACAATGAGCAAAGCTGCAGCCGCCAACCGAACCTTACTGAGCCTGAGAAAATCTGTATTGGAGAGGAACCCGTTAAATGTAGTCAATGTGGAACAGCTTTTGGCCACAAGCACCTCAGACAACAGCAAAGCATTCACAGCAGAGAGCCGATGTGAACGAGGGCAGAAAATCCTTCTCTCCAGGACTGTCGCTTAACCACATTGAGCCCCCGGGGCAGCCATATGGGCGGGAGCCCCTACAGCCCTGTGGCAGGTGGGAAAGCCCTCCCGCAGTTCTCAGGCCCTGGCCTGCACTTAAGAACACACACAGCCAAGGAGCCTGAGCACGGGAGGGAATGTGGGAAAGCTTTCAGCCCCAAGCCTCCCCACACTGGACAGCAGAAAAGTCACTCTCAATAAAAGGCCTGTGGGTATCCTGCAAACGCCAGAGGTTTTGTCAGGAATTTATGAATGAGGCAAACTTGAATGAAGGCTGAAAACAGACGGGCCACCAGAGAACTCCCACTGAGGAGAAGGACGTCCGTGTGACGAACAGCCTGTGCCTGATGACAACAGCACATACCCACGCCTACGGCAAGGTGACGCGGCAACCTCAGACCACGTCCCAGGAACACCGGGAGCAGGAAGCAGACGCCTGTTATCACTGCTGTTGGCACAGATCTGCAGATCTCCTACAGTGCAGTAAACAACAGTAAGCTGTAAGGACTGGAGAGCATGGGACAAAAACTGAGGATACGACCATCGACAAGCAAAATAAAACACTAGTGATGTTGATCAGCAGAGCAGAATGGATTCCGCGGAGAACTGTGCAACTATTAGAATCTGGAAAAGGTTAGAAACAGCATGGGCGGGGGCGGGGTGTGTGTGTGTGTGTGTGTTAACAGTACTATTTTTTAAATGATTTGGAGGTCATTTTTCTCCAAGGGAAAAAATACAGACCATGGACTTCACACAAAAGTAAACTCCACGGGGACTGAAAACAGGAATATTGAAAAGGTATATAAGAAACATTCCTTGTAACATATTCAAAAATACTTAGCAATCTCATTCCTGGATACGCTCAAAACATATGCATCAGGAAGTTTACTGCGATTTGAATTGTGGTAGCCAAAAACTACAAACAACATAGCTGCCTGTGGGGAACAAAAATGGGGAATTATTATGACCTAATCCTACACTTACTCCTGCATCTGCAAAATGTAAAAATGACATCTGCCAAGTATTAACAGCAAGATCTCCAAAGTCACTGGAAGAGGGAGAGTCAAGCTGGAAAACGATGCACATAGGACAATGACTTTTTGAAATTTTGAATTAAAGCTTCCCTTACAAAACTCAGCACCTTACACTGGAACTGGATACATCTATGTACCTAAGTGTTTTCAAAATGAGCCGGAAGGGTGCAGACCACGCAGACCAAATTCGACCTGTGAGGAGTAGAGAAGAGAGGGACAGACTGTGGAGGGGAGAGCACTGGTTAAAGAATTAGGTCTTTCATGTTAGCATCCATCTATCTTTGAGATTGCAGGTAGAGATACAAAGACACTGGGTAATTCTGGACTGAATATCTCACCTTATTTTTTGTACCTTTCTGTATTTTAAAAATTCCTCAAAATGGCCGGCGCCGCGGCTCACTAGGCTAATCCTCCGCCTAGCGGCGCCGGCACACCGGGTTCTAGTCCCGGTCGGGGCACCAGATTCTGTCCCAGTTGCCCCTCTTCCAGGCCAGCCCTTTGCTGTGGCCCGGGAGTGCAGTGGAGGATGGCCCAGGTGCTTGGGCCCTGCACCCCATGGGAGACCAGGAAAAGCACCTGGCTCCTGGCTCCTGCCATCGGATCAGCGTGGTGCGCCGGCCGCAGCGCGCCGGCCGCGGCGGCCATTGGAGGGTGAACCAACGGCAAAGGAAGACCTTTCTGTCTCTCTCTCTCTCTCACTGTCCACTCTGCCTGTCAAAAAAAAAAAAAAAAATTCCTCAAAATGAGTCAGAATGAGAATGAGGATGGGAATGCTGTACCTGTAGAAATCATGTTATATGGGCTTAATTTCCAAACACTAAACACCTTACAGAAATTATCTCTAGTGTTTTGTCAACAATGAGTGGATGGGCTTTCTCTCTACATAATGTGAAATTATCTACTTTATTATAACTTAAAGTGACAGAGGTGAAAAAATTTTCAAGAGTCAAGAAAAGACAGGTGATGTAACCCAGGGAACCAATCTCCAGGTATTTTACAAACACTCTACTCAATGTAAAGTGAACTTTCTAGGGGAAGGAGTTTGGTGCAGTAGTTAAGAGGGTGCTTGGAATGTCCATATCCCCTAATGGATGCCTAGGTGCAAGTCCCAGTTCCACTTCTGACTCCTGCTAACATGCACCCTGAGAAGTAGCAGCCAATAATTCAACTATCTGGGTCTCGGTCACCCACGTGGGACACCCAGATTGCATTCTGGGCTCGCAGCCTGGGCCTGACTCAGCCTCAGTTGTTGCTGACATGTGAGGAATGAATCAGTAGGTGGAAGATCTCTGCCTCTCTGTCAATCTCTCTTTCCCTCCCCCATGCTTTTCAAATAAATAAAATATGGGTTAAAGTTTTGTTTTAGATGCCAGCATTGTGGCACAGCAGGTAAAGCCACCACCTGTGATGCCAGAATCCCATATGGGCACTGCTTGAGTTCCAGATGCTCCACTTCCAATCCAGCTCCCTGCTAATGTGCCTGGGAAAACAGAAGATGGTCCAAGTACTTGAGACCCTGCACCTACGTGGGAAACCCGATGAGGCTCCTTGCTCCTGGCTTCAGCCAGGCCCAGCCCTGGCCATCTGGAGAGTGAAAGAGCAGATGGGAGATTCTCATTTCTCCACACACTCCCCACCCCAGTTGTCTCTCTGTAACTCTGACTTTCAAATAAATAAAACAAACCTTTAAAAATGTCTTGTTTTAATCTGTTTTTAACCAAGTAAAATACATTTTAAGAGGTGTAAAAATTCACAAGCGACCAAGAGCTAGATAAATACAGTCAGTGAAAAGAGCCTGAAGACTAATTCAGAGGAGAAAGAACCTGGAAAACAATCTTTGAAGTCCATGTGCACGCTTGCTGCTAGTCAGCAGAATCCCTCAGTGACACTCCCCAGAAACACTAAGTAACAGACTGTGAGATCAATTTGTACTAGAGGACAATACTACAGTAGAAACTGTATTTGTACTGTGCTGAACAATGGTCTAGGGAGAATTTCTGAGCACTATGTTGTTAAGTATTATGGGTTTTAGGAAACAAATAGCCAAGGAGAAAGAAAGAAAAGAATTCTGATACTTAGCCAATCTACAGCTTATGTAAATGATCTAACCATTCAAATAATGCAATCATCTATCAGCATTTGTTTTGGGTCTCAGACCCTGAACCACGTTAAACTAATTTAATCATGGATACCAACTGATATGGATGGCAGGGCCACATTCATCGAAACACAACTTTTCCCTTCATGTAGCGCTAGGGCTCTGCATTTAAAGCAGAGCTGGAAAGCTCTGAATAATCTTATTCACTCCTGAGATTTGTGCTGCCTGACATACACATATGAGAAAACCATCACACAAAACATGGTAGGACTCTTCTAATTCTCTGAAAGATTTTCAGAATGAGTATCCTTTGATCAGAGTTCTATGGTGAGACGTTCAGACTTACATATAGCCACAACTACAGGAAAACAAGTCCTGGGCTCTCCAGTTCAGTAACAAAACTTCCATATGTAAGTATTTAGTGAGCCTCTCCATGTGATCATTACAAGTCTAATACCCAGGGGCCGGTGCTGTGGCACAGCAGGTTAATGCCCTGCCCTGAAGCGCCGGCATCTCATATGGCACTGGTTCGAGACCCGGCTGCTCCACTTCCAATCCAGCGCTCTGCTATGGCCTGGGAAAGCAGCAAGAGATGGCCCAAGTCCTTGGGCCTCTGCACCCACATGGGAGACCTGGGAGAACCTCCTGGCTCCTGGCTTTGGATCCGCATAGCTCTAGCTGAATCAGCATAGCTCTAGCCATTGCGGCCAATTGGGGAGTGAGCTATCAGATGGAAGACCCCTCTCTCTCTCTGCCACTCTTCTCTCTGTGTAGCTGACTTTCAAATAAATAAATAAATCTTTTTTTTTAAAAAAAAGAAACAAACAAATCCTATAAATATCTTGAGTATGCTGAATATGACCAAACTATGATAGAACGATGCATACCAATATTCAAAGACTCAAAATAAAGACATCATATTCACAGGAAAATGCAACTCAGTCTGGTTTACTTGTTACAGTAAAAAACAAAGTAAACCCATGCGGCCAAGCATGACGGCAGCCAGAAAGATGACACACCAGCACCATCTCCTCACAGCAAGACCAATGAGAACAGCTATTCGTGCCGAAGCCATCTTCAGAAGAGCCAAGGACACCAGGTGAGAGAGTGCAGGGTGTGGTTTTAGTGCAACTATTAAGAAAAGCTGTACTGAAGAAAGCTATAAACAAAGACTTGCCACATCACCTCTCCCCACACGACCTCTCCAGACCTCCCAGTTAGGCAAGGGAGAGGGTGTTATACACAGACCTTGGACATGAAACCAAGCACCAGACCCCGCCATGGTAAAACCCAGCTCCAAACAGGACCTGCCACGCCAGTACCTGCAGATGGAGCCTCTGGATCCTCCTCAGTAAGAGGCCAGGGCAATGCCTCCACCACCTCTTCCCCCACCTCCAAGAGATACTGGATCAGGAGACCAGCCACTGTGGGGTAGGATGGGAAGTGAGTACCAAACATTGCCTTGGAGCTCAGTGCTGGGGTCGTCACAGTGAGACCTGAGGCCAGATGATGCCCAAAGACCAGAGACTCTAACAGCTCATGCTAAGCGGGAGGGACCAGCTTGGGGTAGGGGGTGCCCTCTAGCGCTGACACAGCCACAACATACCAACAGCATTCACCCCAGGGTGCTACCTAGTGTGAAAGAGCAGAAGTGTCCACAGGCTCAGAGAAAGTAAGTGTGCTGTTCACAACTTCTGGAAGGCAGGCACAAACAAAGCCAGATTGCAGACTGGGGGAAAAAAAACCCTAAGCCCTCAACATGCCAACAGTATCATATGCCAACAAGCATCAAGAACTTTCAGGGGGCAAACAGCTGGCAGGGCAGTCAGGCATCACTTGGGATATCTGCATCCCGCATCAGTGCCTGGGTTTGAGTTCCAGCTTCCTACCAATGAGCACAGTGGCTCAAGTTGCTGGGTCCTTGCCAATCATATGGGAGACCCAGGTTGAGTTCTTGGCTCCTGGCATTGGCCTGGCCCAGTTCCAGCTGTTTTGGGCATTTGGAGACTGAACCAGTGGATGAGATGTGTGTGTGTGTAAGTGTGTGTCTATGTGTTTGCATGCACACATGGGTGTGCCTTTCAAGTAAATAAAATAATTATTCTCAAAACAGAACCTTCAAAAAACCATGATCTCATCTAATGAAGAAAATAAGGTATCAGAAACTTGTCAGATAGAAACTGATATATGCAAATTTTAGAAGCAGAATTTAAAATAGCTATTTGAAGGAAACTCGGTGAAATTCAGGAAAACAGAAAAAAATGATTTATTATTCTAATACATTTAATAGAGATGTGATTTTTTAAAAAAATCACACAGAAATCCTTAAGCTGAAAAGTATATTAAGCAAAATTAAAAATACAATAGAAGGCATCAATGGTAGAGCTCAAAGATCAGATATTTGAAAATGCAGTCAGGTGCCAGCGTTGTGGCATAGTGGGTAAAGCCACTGCCTGCAGCGCTGGCATCCCATATGGATACCAGTTCAAGTCCCAAATGCTCCACTTCAGATCCAGCTCCCTGCTAATGAGCCTGGGAAAGCAGCAGAAGATGGCCAAAGTTCATGGGCTCCTGCACCCATTTGGGAGACCCGAAAGAACCTCCTGGTTCCTGGCTTTACCAAGCTGTTGTGCCATTTCGGGAATGAACCAGCAGATGGAAGATAGTCTCTCTCTCTCTCTCTCTCTCTCTCTCTCTCTTTTTCTCTCTCTGCCTCTCCTTCTCTGCAGCTCTTTCTTTTTATTTATTTATTTGAGAGGTAGAGTTACAGACAGTGAGAGGGAAATACAGAGAGAAAGGTCTTCCTTCTGGTGGTTCACTTCCCAAATGGCCGCAACAGCTGGAGCTGTGCCAATCTAAAGCCAGGAGCCAGGTGCTTCTTCCTGGTCTCCCACACAGGTGCAGGGGCCCAAGGACTTGGGCCATCTTCCACTGCTTTCCCAGGCCACAGAAGAGAGCTGGACTGGAAGAAGAGCAGCTGGGACTAGAACCGGCACCCATACGGGATGGCAGCACTGCAGGCGGAGGACTAACCTACTGCGCCACGGTGCCGGCTCCAGCTTTGGCTTTCAAATAACTAAATAAATATTTAAAACAAAACAAAAAAAAAAAGTAGAGGGGGAGAGAAAAAAAAAGGAATAAACAAAGTTCATAGGAATTTGGGGCACCATGAAGAGAGCAAATATTAAATTCAAGAGAGACCTCTGAGTGCCAAAGGGGTAGAAAGTACATCCAAAGAGATATTAACAAAAAACTTCCCAAACCCAAACCTAGGGAAAAACCTATCTAAATACAGGAAGGTGAGGTCCCCAGCTGGATTCAACTCAACCTACATGTACCCCAAGACATATAACCAAGTCCTCTACCGTTAAGGAGAGGATTCTCAAAACTGCAAGAGAAAAAAGACGAGGCACCCTAAGAGTGCTCCAATTCCCCTGACTGTAGACGTCTCCACAGAAATCCTACAGCAAAGGCGGGAGTAGAATGAGGCTTTCACAGACTGCCAACCACAAATACTGTATCCAGCAAAGCTATCCTGAGGTACAAAAGACAGATAAAGGCAATGTCAGGCAAACGAAAACTGAGACAACTTACCACTGCCAGACCCTTCCTATAAGACACTCCAAGAGGACTGAAAGAAATAGATGCTAACAAGTATAAAAAAAATCAAAGACTCACTGAATAGAGTGCCTAGAAGAAAACCCATGCATCCACAGCCAACTGATCTTCCAGAAGGGCACTAAGAGCACACACTAGAGAAAGGACAGTTCTTAAAATGCATAGCACTTGGGAAACTAGACATCCATATGAGGAGGAATAAACCTTGACCCTTGTCTCATCGCAAAGAAGAATCAATTCAAAATGGATTAAAGACCTAAGTATATGACATGAAGTGATGAAAGTATTAGAAGAAAATTGGGGGGAGGTATGCTTTAAGACACTGAAATGGACAAGGATTTTATGGTTAAAACCCCCAAAGCTCAAGAAACAAAAACAAAAATACATAGGATTTTGTCAAACTGAGGAGCCAAGCAAAGAATCACCAGATTGAAGAGATACCCTGCAGAATGGGAGAGAACATCTGCAAACCACACATCGGACCAGGGCTAATAACCAGAATAGGCAGAGTTCACCTCAACGGCACAGGAATAAATGATACCGTTAAAAATGGGCGACAGATCTGAATGGGCATTTTTTTTAAAAGGAAGACATACAAATGACCAACATGTACAGGGAAAAATACTCAACATCACTAATCATCACAGAATGGCTATTACCAAACAGACAAAAGACAACAAAAACTGGAGAGACCGTGGAGTAAAGGGAATCTTTGTGCACTGCTGGTGGGGCTGTAGCCACTGTGGAAAACAGTATGGGGGTTCCTGAAATAGTCAGAAATAGAACATGATCCAGGAATCCCATTACTGGATATACAGACAAAGGAAGGCAATTTATCAAAGAGACACCTGCACTCCCATGTTTGCTGCAGCACTATTCACAACAGCCTGGGAAAATGGGAACAACTAAGTGTTCATCAACTGAGGCAGGCAGAAAACATGATGTATACGCACAATGGGATACCACCCAGCCATGGAAA